CTATGAAGTACTGCATTTTTTGAGACTCAGCACCAGATGGCGCTCAAGCTTACTGAAAGACCAGCTCCAGAACTGGCACTGCAAAATCCAACTCGGATACCAGGCAACTCTGTTTAGGCACTGCAAAATCCAGCTTTGATGCCAGGCGATTCCTAAATCTCAATTTCCTTACCCATGATGTGCGGGTGGAAACCAACCCAATGGCCTTTCAACTCAGACGGCCTATGTTTCTGACGACAAAGTGGTAAAGTTGAGGCTGACTTGTCACTGCGTTTACTGACAAGCAATCCTAAAGTCAGGCTGCGAAAGCGAGACAAAGGTCGGCAGGAGGCTGTCTTCTGTGCAAAGTGGCTCGCACTACGTGGGCGACAGATTAAAAACTGTTTAACCACGTGATGCCTTCATTACCGCGGAGAGTCCCCAAACTGGGTTCTTCCAGCAAAAATCAATCAAGAAATTAAGCGCGGCTCCTTCTGAGGATACACATTAGCACTCTGGTGACGGGGCAGTACAGAATATAACACAAATTTATCCAAGTTCCACGTGCAAGGGACAAACAACTTCCGCCGGGTAATTCGGCTCTCGGAGGCGCGGTCTAGCTGGTCACGTGGGGCCACGGAATGACGCCTCGCAGGACGTTCAGGTGGACGCTGCTCGCCACGTCACGTGGGTTGTTCCATCCAAGCCAGAGTTCAGGACTTCCATATGAGAAACAAACCAATTGCATTCAGTGTGGTAATCTGAAAATAAGGGAGACGATTTTCTGCGCATGACCGTTTTCACCCTTTAGTACGGTCTCACTGACGCTTCCATTGAACATCCCTGCTCCCCCCTAGAATTCCCGTTGGTCTCGCCCGCGCCCCGCCTCCGCTGCGGCTCGCCCCGCACGCCGTGGTCTGAAGCTCCCCACGTGACCCCAGCGCACTCCCGAGGGGGGCGAAGTCTTGGAGGCGGCGCCGCAGGGGACTGAGGGACCGGACCGACTGCGCGTTGTATGCTGCAGCTTTCTCCAGGACGCCAC